ATCTTTTCTAAAATAATTATTTTTTAAAATAATTTCTGATATAAAATAAAAATTATATTAAAATAATATAAAATAATATACATAAAATTTTGTATGAAACTATATAAAATGTTTCGGAGAAATAAAAGCTCGTTTTGACACGAAACGCGGCGCGCAAAAGATCGCGGCATCAACGGGTTTATATTATGTCGCCTGCGTCTGATCTATTTGCCGAAATTCTCACGAGAAGCCTCGTGCGTCAGCTAAAATCGTATATTCGCGACAAGTGCGGAATATTGATCTCGTGAATATTTTAAGGCGTCGAACGTATACATATACACACACACACACACACGTTACGAACGCGGAAACCGATGTCACTGGGATCCCCATAGATTATTCCGCAGTGTGGCAAATGCGAGTGGCGTCGCACGCACATGTACAATGTATACGTTTTAGACTCGAAAGCGGGATCGAAAGTGACTGCTTGCATTTAATCGTGGCGTGGCAAAGATACTGAATTTATTCACGGAAAAATATAACCGCGCGCGCACAATTTTTCGTTAAATTGCGCAATATTTATTGATTGAAACGGTTACGTTGTATTTCATAACAGTCGCACATAATAATTAAAAAGGCGTTTCTCATGAGGACCCTCGTCAAAAAGAACGTACCTGTAGTTATTTTCGATAGTTTATAAAAAGAATTTTTTTTCTTACCGTATAATGCAAATCCACATATATATATATATTCATTTTTATAAAATAGAATGGATTCATCTTTTAACACATATTTATATATAATAGATTTAGAAAAGTATATTCTAAAACATTATATACACACAACTTTATAATAATATCGCCAAAAAAAAAAATATATATATATATATATATCCAGCGTTCTTAAATAAATAAATTCATATGTGTATTTATATGTATTTTTTTATATGTGTATTTGTTTACATGTTTAATCGACGCGTTGAGCTCGATATTTAAGATTCATGACATGCGATAATATACACGCGCGCAAATAGATTTTACAATATAAAAATAAGTAAACGTTAATCCTTTATTTATCAGTGATATATTTTTTTCGCGTCCAAAAGGAAACGACGCGAAAAGGAACTAACTTTATTCTGACGCTTGATTTTTCGTTATCATAAATCTCGCCATTTAAACAGACGCTGATTAATCGAGCGATTAATTTCGTAGAATCGTGATCGTTTTTCAAAACGTAAGGCATGTTACCTCGTTATCGTGCATCCGGCGGATTCTCTGGCATCCCCGATAGCATCGATCGCCGATCGTCGCATCCTCCGCGCTGATTCCGGAGCGAAATCCGTATTGAGCGCACTGGAGTATCCGGCCATCGTAGCTCCGATTCCCATAGAGCTCTCAAAGCACTATACCGACATATCCCTCGTGGATGAATTGGCCAGGTAACCAAAGAGGGAGAACCACTGGCGTGTGTACGTACGTTATGTATGTATAATATCCCGCGCACAAACAAACAAGCACCTCCTGCATCCACCCTTTATCCTTTAACGGCCGAAGAATACGTATGATCGGCGCGGGGTCAACTGTCACACGTGTTACACAGCACTCACTCTCGGCGCTCGAGAAGGAAAGAGTATGGGTTCTCGCGCGCCGTCGCTCGTTTCTCTTTCTTTAGAATCACGAGCCGTACGCAATCTTTAAAGATATATCCCCGATCCATTCGCGATACACGACAATACACACCACCGCCCCCGTCGTCGCGCTCTTTTTCGCACTCACACCAACATTACCGAACGCACCACTATAGTATGTCCACTTGACGCACGAGGCGATGGTATCGTCAGGACGAGATCGAAGCACCCACGGCCGCGAGTCCTCTCGGCGGCGCGCGTCGCTCACCCCGCGGCATCACGACATGTATATCTACCCGCGCGATATGCGATCGGTCGTCTCGGGGATTGTAATCTGACGAGCGCGAGCGCGACGTCCCTTCCGCGGCACGATTAGACTCTTCCGTGTAACCCGGATCGTGACCGAATTCACTCGAATCGAGAGAAGAAGAGAGAGGGAGAGAGAGAGAAAGAGAGAGAGAGAGAGAGAGAGAGAAAAGGAACGCGCGCGCTACTCAACGTCGCTGACGTTTCGTCGGGTAAGGATGGCTTGATGATGGGGATGAAACGAGATCGGGATTCTCGCGTCGCGTTCTTCGCATCCGACCCGCACGGCAGACAGCACGATACTACCGACGGTCCCTACGCTCGCGTAATTCCATCCCCACTCCTCGCCGCCTGCCAGGCTACCCCCACCAGCGGCGCCGTTGCTACACGCGTCCCTTACCCCCTCCACGATAATGGGCACGCACCGAGAGCTATCCGGAGCGTGACACACGCTTACGTATCTGGTGGGGGATACGGTCGCGTGGCGGCGGCCCGTCTCGGTGGGGATGCGAGAGCGAGATGCGAAGTTGGCGGCGGTAGCGGTGGCGGCGGCGGCGGCGTCTGACGACGCATGCGCACGGCCACGCGCCGTACGTCGTACGTCGTACGTCGCCGCCGCCGCCGCCACCGCTGCCACCGCCATTACCGCTCTCGTCGTCGCTCGTCGTTCCAACGCGTAGATGCACCCGTAGAGGCCCTCGTGAAAATCTACGGTAAGTGCGTGCGTACAACGAAGGCCGCGAGAGAGTGCAGGGACCTCTCGGCGGCGATGCTGCTCTCCTACCTTCTCCTGTCTCCGCGACGAGGAGATGCTGGGCTTAAACGCAGCTACGTGACTTCTGTCCGGCCCTGAGGCGGGAGAGAGACAGAGAGGGCATTACGGGGCGAATTACACGGCGCATCGGAAAAGAATCCGTGCGACTTTCTCGGAATTTTACTGCGGGAAAGATTATGAGTTATCGTACGGTATAAAGTGTAATAATACCGCCGTATACCGGCGAAATGCCATCGCGATATACGCGAAAATACGTACGCTATATACCAGGCGTCGTTTGCAGTTTCCTGCACTCTTCTTTAACAGTTTTTAACGCGAGAATTTATCATTATCTCTTTTTATATTTGCGACACAGCTATAAGCGTCACGAATGTTCACATCTAAAAGACCACGTATTATTTTTTTGATAGCCTCGAATCAATATTTATCAATCGCATACGCATTTCCCTTGTTTAAATAAAGCGCTAGTAATTATAAATTAGACATTCGTGGTATTCAGCCGCGTCCATTGATGTTGTTACATTGTTGTACAATTATTCGGAACGTTATGATATTAAATTCGCCGCGTTTAAATATTTAACGTTCGTGGCATTTGACTTGAATGGAATTTCAATCTCGCTTCATATTTAAATACATATCGTGTTATAAATACGTCGAGTCGAGTCGCGCGAGAGAGCGATTTTCGAGAACTCGCGTCGAAGGTAAGACGGGACGAGAGAGACGAGGACGAGGCATCTATTTACAGAGCGTCCGCTCATTTATCGCGCAGGAAATGCACACGTATGTGCATATATGCGCCAAGGAGGTTGGCGGAGGTTGCAAAGGAATGAATCCAGAGAAAGAGATGGCGGTGCGAGCTTAATACAATGCTTCCTCATCTTAACCTCTTCAGAGATATTGACACATATGTGTATATACTTTTAGTTTTAGTATATGAAATTCTTTCACGAATAATTACTCTTAACGCACAATAGCCACCATATTTGCATTATTACATTTTTTTTTTTTTATATAGTTATTTATATATATTTTATATATATAATTTTTTTCCGACTTTAATAAATCAATCTCTGAAAACACTAAACTTCTTGTGAAATTATATCCAATATAAAATAGAATAGAGAAATAAAATGAATTCTCGTCCACGATACGTTCGGTAACTCTTTCGCAAAAAAAAAAAAAAAAAAAAAAAAAAAATATCAGAATCGTATATTGCGGTTCGATTTCTATGGGTTTAACGCATAGTTGACATGCATGTCATTCCGAAAAAAATATAGCTACATTTTACACATACTTTTTCACGTAACACCGCTCTTTTGTATCTCAATATATTTCTTTGTAATATAACAAAATGCATCGCCGATTTTTTTTTTGGCGTTGAAAAAAGGAAGACAGAAGCATTATACACGCAAATTTGCAATCAGTTTTTACGTTTAACTGCTAAACGAAACGGTCATTAACATTTGCGTTAAGAAGCACCGTTATTAAGCCAATTCAATCACGAGGATAATTCCGTGTAAATCTTTTAGACGTTTAATAAAGAATTTTGAGCACGAAGCAATATATATAGAGTGAGAAGAGGTGGCGTGTCTTACTCGACGCCGCCGACAATGATAACGGAACACGACAGCGTCGGCTATTACGTGCCTCCTCGAGAAAATATCGCATCGTGATCCCGAAAGTCTCCCATTGAAATTTTAATTTTGTATATCGTGCTAACGACGCGCGTGTGGGTAGGCGTGCTCACATGTATATTCTATACATCGAACTTTCTCGTTCTGCGAGAAATGCAAGTGATACGGCTTGCCCATTGACACCACCGCGAACTTAAACTTCAAAGTTTTTTTATGAATTCTCATAAGAGATCAAAAAAGATTAGCTAAGGATGCCTACCTTTTCGAATTCTTTTTCCTGTACTCCTAATTTCTTTAGCAATCTATCCTTCATTTTTTGAAAAGGTTCACCCTATAAAGTACAGCGTTACAATTATTAAAATGCATCGTGTGTTATATATATATATATATATATATATATATATATGTACGTTTAAATTATTCATTAAGATATATCCATTCGACTCCCCTTCGCGCACGATTGATCAAGATTTTATCGCATATCGACGATGCACCATGCTATCTTGATAAGCGCGATATTCGTCGAATAAAAATGCCGATCGATTGATGAGATTTATTAGTTTTTTTATTCATTTATTTTTTTTTTTTTTTATAAGAAAATGTGAACACTACATTATACGATATATGGCTGAAAATTTTAATTTATCCGTCTCAAGTCACAAACCGCAAGTCGCATCATCGGCGAGTCTATTCCGTCAGATGTGTCACCGACTCGTGTCTGACGGAATGGACTAATAATTAATTTACTCGACTGAATAAATCACGCGCTGATTCTCACTTCAAACGTCGCCGCGCGACGACGCGGATCAGGAGCCATAGAGAAAGAATTATGAAAGGAAATGCGCGTATACGACATGACGCTCCTTCCATCGGGAAACTTGGCTGGAGAATTTGGGATATGGGCTGTGTGTGTAGTCTCGCGCGCGAGAGGAGGCATCTCATTCGACACCACAGACGGTAATAACGAGAGCGCCCGGCGGCGCGAGGCTACGTGCTTCCTCCGGAGAATATTAATCCGTAATGCTGAGCTCGGTCTGCTGAATCTTCTAGCTCCTCCTATATCAGATACGTAGAGGAAAGCAGGAGCGCGAGGGCTTCGTTTTCCTTACGAAAATCGAACCTTTACGGCAACGCAAATCTCACAGCCTGTTTCGAAATGATTTTTTTATCATCAATTTTTTTCGTCTGCTTCATTTGTACGAAAAACAAATTTTTTTCTTTTTACAATCGTTGATGTTACACATTTCCTTCCCCAGAAACGTGCGAAAATACGGAGATGAGAGTAAACGAAAAAAAAAAAAAAAA